GAAACAAAACTTAAAAGAAGTTAGAAAGATGAATTTAGGGTAAAGTGCAGTAAATTGAATTGCGAAAAACTAAATACATCGAGTGGAGATATTCACAACGAAATAACAAAAATCAGAGTTAAATTTAATGGCAGCGTAGAGCTAAAAACTAAATTAGAAAAACTGTTTGAGAAAATTGGATCTGAACTAAGACATTACTTGTAAAACTAAAATGTAAATAGTGCTGAACTAGTTATGTAAGAGACTGGTCTCCTTTGCTTCGTTTTTTTTCTTCATACTTATAGCAATAAATACCCCTTGGCAGCATGCTTAGAGATCTACGACAGCAATCTTGGAAACCAAAGGCAGTGTGATATCTGAAACAACCCGATTAATTTGCTGATGCTGTCAATTATCCTCATAAAAGCTTGCAACAAACGAACGGCTTTGCTGCTGTTATAAAAATAACCACTCAACCTTATTCATAAAGATTTACTTCAACAACTTTCAACCAATGAAATTCTTACCAACATGGATGACATGTGGCACCATTCTATTTCTTTTGCGAAAATGGGTGTAAACAATGCCCCAAAAACTTGGTTGCACGACTTCATGGAAGTGGAATCAAGTTTTTGAAAATTTTGTTCCTAACACTCCTCACCATGTGGTCATTGTAAAGAAAGCATGATGTCTCTAAAAATGTAGAAATTTGAAATTGTTGTTTTCTTCAGCATAGTATGAAATATCATCTGGCAGGCATAACTAACAGACACAATGGCTTCATAGATAAACAAGCCAGCTAAAAGTGTGTTTACAAAAAAGGTAAAATATAGCCTTAAAAAAAAATAATTCCACGAATTCCTTTGTTGGTTGACATGAAGACATAAATCAAGTACGCATCCATAAAAAGCATGTCTTAAAAGCAATGCCATCTCACAGCTTCCCTTAAAGCCACTCAACTGCAAGATTATTCACACTAATTGTAGAAAATTAAAAACAAAAACTAAATTAAAACTGATCTCCATCCAAACCTGACTTAGGCAAAGAGATTATTTTCACTTCGATCTACTGCATGACCTACAGACCGAAGGGCAACATGATTGAAAAGGTAAGCCATTTATTTTTGTGAGGTGCAGACTACTGTCAAGATTTTGTAGCCAATATGTGCCTTCATATAATGCCTTGTGCATTTGCAAAGATTTCATATTGCTAGTAGAATGTCTCCTAGGCAGTATGCTTTTAGTTGATGGCAGCATTCCTCCTCTTGGAACAAAGGTTGCAGCATCTTTTTTATGATCCTTCTCTTTGTTTTCTTTGACAGACATGTTTGCTTTGTTCTTTGCTGTCTTTGTGCTACTAGAGGTTACATCTTGTTTCTTTGTAAAAACAAAAGGGAGATTTGGATTGGAACTTGGAAGTTCAATAATAAACTCACCAAGACTAATTGTTTTGCTGTTGACATAAAGCTCTTTAGTTGCATTTGAGTCATTCGACTTGAAAGGAACATGCTTGGCAGACGTCTTTGGAGACACAATTGCATTGACTAAATTTTGATTTGCCTCTTGAGAAGTTGCACTGTGTTTCTTCTTCTCCACCCAGATAAACCTTTGCTTCCTTGGAGGTTGTTGCCATTGGGAAGTATGCACCTTAAAAACAGCATGCCTCTAACGCTTTTTAGCTCTTTTCTTTTGAAGTCGCCTTCGAAGAGTCCTAAGATTTTTGGTAGGGAACTCTGGGTGGGTCACCAAGTTTATATGGTGACCATGTCGAAATTGATTGTTTACAAAGGCAGCATCTGCACATACCTCTATGCCTGTCTACGAAATCATGCCCCTCATGCCTCCACTCAGAGACATGGGTTTGTTGCTTTCGTTCCTTCTTTGGTGTCCAATAGAGCAAGGTTTTTAAAATCGGATCGGTCATTGAACCATTTTCAGGTTCGGTTCTCGGTTTAATCGATTCAATTGATTGAATCGGTGAACTGATCGGTCCAAATAGCAAGGAAGATTTGATGAGAGGAGCAAGTTGCATGCATGGATTTTCTAATTTGATGTTGATAATTTTGTAATTTTGTTAAAATTAAAGGTTAAAATGGGTATAAGAAAGGAATGGGAAGGGTGAAATTGGAAAAAATTAAAAGAAGATTGCATGAGAAATCGAACCGGTGGTTTTTCTGGTTTCACCGGTTCCATCGGTTTTCATCGATTTTCATTGGTTTTTATTGGTTTTTATCGGTTTTGATTGATTTTGACCAAGTTTTGACCGATTTTGACATCAAACGATTTTCTTATGTAGACCGAACCGTTTTCATCACCGGGTATCGGTCCGACCGGTCCAACCGGTCGGTCCGGTCCAGTTTTAAAAACCTTGCAATAGAGGTTATTAGATTTCTTCTTTTTTCTTCGACTTGGTAGATGCGAAGGCATGATGTTTCTTATGCCATCTCCTATGTTATCCTTGTGGCTGCAAGGAAAATATGAGAATTTTTTGTGAAAGCCACTTTGAAAAGAATCATTATTTTTTAAATATGGCCTATGGCATATTTGACAACATGGTGGCCTGCATGCCACCTGAGTGGCCTTGGGTAATGAGTTTGCAAACTGCTGAGGTGGACTAAGCTTGCACACATGCTTTTGCTGTGGCAGCATTGATTGGATGCTTGAATTGGCATCAGGTTGCAACAGCACAAACCTTGCTGCTTCTTTAGTTGTAACTTTGTGAACTTCATTAACAATAAGGTATTGCAACCTTTGTTGTTCAATCTGATTAGGTTGCCCTCCGATATTGGAAATGACTTCTTTTTTCAAACTAACAACTTTAAAAGGATATCTCACCTTTAACCATTGCCCATAGTTGAACTTGTAAGGGCTTCAACCATTAAGAAAGCATGGTAGCCACGAACACTTTTTAAGCAAGGCTGAATAAATATGCTCATTAGTTTCTAAAAAAGTAGAAATAGATGAGATGGATAT